GAACACCAGCAGAATGTGACTGGCTCCCTCCTCATCACCTGTAAGAGGACATGGAGCCTGCCAGGCAGTCACGGCCTGCAGCCGTGAAAGAATTGGTTCCTGAGTACCCTCTAAAGCTTTCGTGTAACTCTGCCTTCAGTAACTCTGCCTTGACCTCCGTTCACTGCAAATTGCCATGCAACGTGCGTAGCTGTTACTAAAGAAAGAGGACTCTTATTTTGTCCACAGGCTTTTCAAAGCACAGACTGTCTCTCAGCTGTTACTAGTCAAAAATGGTACCTTGGGGCAACATTGCTACGTGCATCCTGCTGTTCTCTGAGGAATGGGGTCTGGACAGTGCTCTGTGTAACTCTGAGGCAAGCTGGCTAGGATCTTCGCTTGGTGCTTCTCCATCAGGGGTCCCAGCGTGCTTGTGGGAACAGGAACCGTCTTTTGACTGTCCGAGGCAGCCCCACTGCCAGGCGGAGCTGAGCGTGAGGAACACAGCAGTGAAGAAGTCTGCACGAGTTGGGACTGGCGCCCTGCTGAGAACTTCAGGGATGAGTGAGAGGGGGAAACACCCCCACACGTTCGTGTTGCGTCTCCAGTGAGCGTGTAGCAACAGAAGTTTACCTTTGGTTAGTCAGAGGCTCCCGAACACTTAACTAGCATGCCACTGGTGGCTTGGGAGCTACTTCAGGTCTACAGGTGTCCAGTAGCAAGTCTGGACTGCGTACAGGGAGCAGCCTGCGTGAACCACAGGCTGAGTTTCTCCGTGCAGGCAGCAAGTGCTTCTCAGCTGATGGTGGAGGAGTGAGACTGGGGAATAATTTTAGTTTGTTTCCTGTTCTCTCAAAAAATCACTGTAATGTAGCCACAGGGCTTCTCATCTGCCGGTTCTCTGATACGCAGCTGGTTTTGGGGGGTGGAAGGGTTTGACATGGAGGAGGAAGGAGTCCGTGCGGAGTGTAAGCTCCGCTTTGTGGGAGTAAAGGTGCGTCAAAGAGCTTACAGGAGGAGATGGTCTGCGTGAATCCTGAGGACAGAGCTAGGGGCTGCTGCAGCAGTCAGCAGCGTGGTACCTCACGTTGCTGTCAGGGGTACCTGAGCAAACAAACAGGTTTAAAAAAATGTGACTGGGATTTCTGTTTGGTCCTGACCTAATAGGACAGACCCCACTTCTCCATCGTCCTGAGCTGCCAGTGATTGCAAGGTGGTTTTGTTAAACCTCCTGTCTGGATGGAGATCTGGCCCGGTGCAGCCTGAGAAATAGCAGCCCAAACATTCAGATTTCAGCCTTTATGCAGGGAGAGGCAGCACGTTGCTTCTCTACTATCCTTTATTCTTAATACATGCTCTCTTTTTCTGTAACACATCTCCACAGCTTTACAGAGCTTCTCCACTATTGTTTGCTGTAAGCCCACAGCAGCATAGGCAGGGAATAGAAGACTTACGAATACAGCAGAAGCCAACCAAAAGGGCTGGGGATGGGTAGAGACCACTTAGACACCAATATGCAGGATATTTGCTTTGTAACAGCTTGCCAACTTGTCCTCCTGTGCAGCACGAGGAGTGTGTACTTGTGCGGTGGATCCTGTGCATCACCTTAGAAAGATGATTGATCTCTGTGACAATCTGGGGTCACCAGCGCTTCCAGGGAATTCACCAGGCTCTTGGCCCGCTGGTGCTCGGCAGCCTCGGCACTGGCTGCTGACTGGAGGTCTCCAGCGTTGTCTGGGTGTTCAAATCCAAGTCTGACGTGCGTTTTGGCAATGGGGGCTAGGCAGTCACACAGTCCGAGGCACAAAGCTCACTTGGGGAAGCCTCCTTGGTATTTTTGTCATGCTCTTCAGCTCAGAAAATCTATGTACCCGGTTTATTTCTTTTCTCAGGGACGGTGAGAGCAGCAAGTCTATGCAAGTATTGTTCTACCCTATCCTCCTTGGAACAGCGTTACTTGTTTTCCTGTTGTAGACTGGTTTGGGCTCCTGGTGCTGTAAGTGCAGGTCCTCCGGCCTTCCTGGCACTCATCACCAGCATGTTTACACCCCTTTCCCAGCGCTGCTGTGGTGCATGTCATCCAGGCAGTCTCTGACCTCCACTCTCTCCTCTGCACTTTATTTCCAGTAGGTTCCTGACTTGCTGTCACCTTAGGTAAGTCACTCTTCCATTCCCTGCTTTCCCAGCTCTAGAGGGAGAATTGTGCCTCTCTGCAGAGCTGGGAAGCTTTGAGAGCGCCACAAAAGGAGCTAGATACAGGCTTGCTCTATTCATCGTGCTTGACAACTCAGTAAATAAAACTTCACTCAATTGCTCGCTCTGTAATTCACACATAAAAGACCTGTCATTCTGATCTCTCCCACACCATGCTTTAAATGCAAAGGATGGAGCGAGACCTTCTAGTAAAGCAGCACAATTTCGGCGCAGTACAGAATGGTCTTTGAGGGTAAGGTGTTGTCATAAATAACATAATGCACTGCCTTGGCAGGAAGAGCCGAGTGCATGTG